AACTTTAAAGGCGATTTTCTCAATATTTTGATTTTGTTGCACGCTCAGATTCCAGATTTTCGAATAGTTGTATCTCGGCCAGATATTGTCCTATCCTAATAAACCATAAATCAATTGCTTATTAAGCTTATTTATTCAGCTTTCAGATTATGTATAAATCTTAATAATAATAATAATCAAAAAAATACCCTTATGGCTGGTTTTGTGGTCCAGGGTCACATTAGAAGGTCACGGATGGAAAGCTAAGCATTGTCTCCCACTCTCGATTCTCGTTTTAATTAGTGCAGTTAAATACTCAACCCTCCGTGCAGGTCTCTTTATACAATGCAGGATATAATTGCTCTCGTTTAACTATGAACTCAGTCTTTGTGTTTGCCCTCCTGCTCTGAACACACACACAGGATACTTTATCAATCGGTGTGTGTCGTGAGGTCACTCTCATTGGCAGGAACGTTATCCCAGGAATGTGTATTTTTGGAGCAGCTAACATAGCGAATGACAGCCGTATCTCCGTCTTCTGGCTGGTTAATATAGATAGCCCAGATTGTGTAAGTGTGTGTGTTTATGTGGTGAAAGAAAGAGCTGATTTGACTTCCTTCTCCTCTGCTCACAGTGTCCTAATTGTTAGGCAAAGTAGATTAAAATCTTTATAATCAAATTTGGGGTATGGCACGCAAACGTTTTAAAAGATTCCCATATCTAAGTGAATACAGTGAAATGTTGTATAATTTGAAAACTGCTTTAACATCATTATGCCAGTGCTGTTTCCCCATTTCTGTCTTTCTAGTAATTTTCGGTAACACTTTACTATAAGGTCCCATTAGTTAACATTAGTTAATGCATTAAGTGCGGCGGCCTTTCTAGTAATTTTCGGTAACACTTTACTATAAGGTCCCATTAGTTAACATTAATGCATTAAGTGCGGTGGACCAGTAGTGCACAACGCAACAAAATCTCCACAACACAAATAAATCGCTACAACACAATGCATAGGACTAATTTTGTTGTGTTGTGGAATGTTTCCGTTGTGTTGTGCTAATTTTGTTGTGTTGTGACTTGTTTCTGTTGTGTTGCGGCTTGTTTCTGTTGTGATGCGGCTTGTTTCCATTGTGTTGTGGAGATTATGTTGTGTTGTACACTGCTGGGCCACCATATTTAAGTAACAAACTAGTAATGAGCAATACATCTGCTACAGTATTTAATCTTTATTAACTTTAGTTAAAATAATTACAACTGTTTATTGTTTATATTAGCTGAGGTCCAATGAATAATATTAAATGATAGAACTTTTGATTTTATTAATGTATGAGTAAGTGCTGAAATTAACTATTAACTAATATTTGTAAATGCCTTTGAAGTATTATTTTTTAATTATTTTTTTCATATTATCTTTAATTGTTAATTCATATTAACTAATATAGTTAATTAATGTCAACAAAAGGAACTTTATTGCCAAGTGTTACCTAGATGTCCAATATTTAAAACAAACAAACAAACAACAACAACAACACAAAGTTGTGAACATTTAATTATGGGTATTATTTTATTTGGTTGATTCACCAAGCATTTTTGACTGTTTTGGGTAGATAGCTAAAAGCTCATTGCCTTCCCTCAGAATAGTACACTATGCTATGCTGTGCTACACGTTCCCCTTAGCCTCGAGAATGTGGTGAATTGGAACTATGAGCTTGTTCTTAGTATCACACATCATCCACGAGTACTGAGCATGTCAAAGCTGCCTTTCGTCTCTCAGTTCATACACAGTTATGTTTATTCTGTTTAGCGCTTTGCTACGCAGGCTAACTGTGTTTGTTTTAAGCTTTTATACTAATAAATACACTGTTGCCTCATACATTGCTCATATTTCAGAAAAAAATAAAAACTACTAATGAATAGTAACTGAGAGCCTGAATTTGTAGAGATAAACGTGCAAGGAGTTCTAATATCCTGATATATCTGCAACACTCGCATCTGTCTCTATAAGCAGATACATCCTCGTCTCTTCATGTCATTGTATTCAACATTTTATTGGTCAGCTTTAATGATTGCTGTCCTTCTGTTTAGTGTGTTTGTGTGTGTATCAGGCTATGTCAGTGCAGTGTTCGGAAGAGACGCATACCCATTCATTTTCTGGTCTGACAGAGCAATCTAGATAATGAGAGACTCTTTACTGGCCTCAATTAAACTGTTACTCAGCATAAATGAGTTCAATAAATCCATTCTACACAATCAGATGCTAGATAAGAAATATCCAGTGGCTAAAATCTTCATATCATTATGAAACGCAGCCGTTGTCACTCTTCATTTTGCTCTGTGAGCTGAGTGGATGCTTGTGTGATGTGTGTGTAAAGGGATAGTTTACCGGAAAATGAAAATGTATTCATTTACTCCCTCTCATGCTTTTCAAAACAGTGTAGAACACAAAAGTAGATACTGTCAGGTTTTTTTCCCCCATAAGTAATGTAACAGAATTTTCACTGAAATTCTTGTAAATCTAATTAGCATATGTAGCATTAATAAGCAGCATAGCATGTTGTTCACACTTTGTGTTGGCAAACTACGGCAGAAGGCCATTAGAAGACTTTCAGTAAAAAAAATATTAAAATTTGAGTCTGTCCTCTCACAAAGCTATCATATTCATGGCACTGAAGTAAGTATAACACACAATAATTTTATTATGAGTATTATTTTACTTACCTGAATGACTGATGTTTAGCATAGTACCTTAGTATAATATTATTCACACTTCACATAAGGCAATAAATTGTAGTCTTTTCTAAATATAAAGCTATATTTATTTGCCTGAATGACTTTCACCAGGCGTTTTTGACTATTTTGGTCACAGTTAGTACTCTGTAGTCTGGTAGCTCCCTCCACTACGTAATTAAAGTTGTGACCGTTAAGTGCACGAAGTGTCCAACATTCCACACTTTGTTTTTTTGGTTAAATAAGAGCATCATCTGGGTATTTGAAGTGCACTTGTTCTTGTAGAAAAGCGCATTGTTATGCAAATTGGGATGCACCTTTGGCTATGCAAGATTTTCAGTTGACAAATAGGCAAATTTAAGTCTTTCTTCACAAAGGCTTCGATGCAAGTATAGCATACAAGGTCACTATCCACTTTTGTTGTATATTTTATTGTAAAACATTCTGTATCTGCTTTTGTGTTTGCGTATGTGCTTGTAATGACATGAGGGTTAGTAAATGATGACAAAATGTTCATTTTTGCATGAACTATACCTTTAAAGTCTGAAAAAGTTGAGGGGGATTAACTCCTCTATGTGCACCTATAGTCTCATTTGTGTCAGTCTCTCTCCTCTCTTACTCTTGTGGATAAAGGAACAGATGGGTGGACGAGTCACTGGCTCTGTTTTATGGGGTGAGAAGACCCAAGAGAAAAATGTTTTAATTTCCCAGAGCCTCTGTGCGTACTGTTGCATGCTGCACTTTCTCTTTCTCTCTCTCACGTTCTCTCTTTACCTCGCTCTTTCTCCTTGTCAGAACAGATGGAGCATATTTTATGTTCTCTTTCAGCTCTCTCAGCCTTGAGGAAATATTACAATAAAGCTGATATGCCATGCGTTAGGACAGACCTCATCTGTCAGTGGCACCTTTTCGAATTTGTGAACTGTTCTGTTTTGCAACCTTGTCAAAGAGCAAGTTTCGTAGTGAGTGGTCCTGTAAACACTATCCACCCATGAGGGCTTCCTGCAGAGAAGTAGAATAATGAGTGGAAAGCTTTGAGGTTTTTGAAGTGGACGAGGCTTAAAGGCCCAGAACTCTCTAACTGGTTAAATACAGTGAGTCTGAATAATACTGTATCTCTAATTTTTTTTCTTTTCAGTTTAATTATGCAGGTAAATGATGGCTAAGTCACACATAGACGGCTTTGTCACATGGTACCTGTTTTTTTACTGCATTTTTAAATAGTTGGTGAAACAGTAAACAATAAGTATGTTACTGTACACTGTTGACTCATGACATTACTGCATTGACTGTTTAATTTGGCAAGTGGTGTCCAGTTATTATTTTAGAAATTAAACTTTTCTTTAAAATTTTAAAACAATTTTCAACTTCATTTATCACATGGGAAATGCAGTATTCTGTATGCTTTTGAAAAAGCCCATTATACGTCTTAATGTATAAATGTCTCCATACTGGGTCAAGAAACATTCTGAAATTGGAATGCGGCTCAGTGGAGGATTTGACTTTCTGAGCCACCATTCGCTCCCTAGAGGAAGACCTCTCTTTGTCTCAACGGAAACAATTATAACCTAGTAACATTTGCTGCCCAGTGCATGGAGATGGCAATGGAAGCACCTTTTCCCTCTTTCATGTCTGCATATGCTTTCTTGCAGGCTGCTTTGTACAGCTTTCACGCCATGGGGAAGAAAATCCCTAGACGGAAGTCTTCCAAGTTCATCACCCTGAGACTGAGAGTTGTCCAATAGACAGGGAACGGCTGCTCCACTGTTGATTGACCAACAGAAACTGGGATGGCTGTCAGTTAGAGCCCATCACTTTCCATCATAGTCCTTTGGCACAAGCTGAGACTCGTAATAAGGAAACCACTGGGTTTTCCAGTGCTCAACTACAATATAATGATTTGTCTACACAGTTTTGTTACTTCCACAACTACATGGATTTATATTACATTTAGAGTATCTTGTTTGTGACTTGCAGAAGGGAGGCATTTGTGTGTGTTGCATGCATTTTGTGCTAAATCCCAAATCTCAGCGGCAGCCAAGTCCATTGATTTGCACTATAAATCATAAATATACATTTTTCATACAGTGTTGTGAAGAAATTCAAAACATCTTTGTCCTTTGGGAAGATGCATTTATCAGAGCTTAGAAGTGCTTAGAGTTCATGAGCATTCCAGTAGTATTAGGTGAGCAGATGCAAATCTCTGCCTCTGTGATTTCACGCTCAGACTTTTCTGAATACATAACCCTGAGAAATGGCTCGGGACAGTAGAGGGACCAGTCGGGGCGCTGGAATGCCAGACATTCTGTGGATCTTATCATATGGTTTCAGTTTGAAATCTGTAAGGTTCTCACTGTTTGTTTGCTTGAGACTTTCTGTTTTTTTCCTCCCTTTGTGTGATATAAACCCGCTGTACTTGCGTCTCTGAAAATGGGCATCGATACACGTATGTTTGTTTAAGGTTGGTATTTTCTGTCTGAGTTAACTCAGTTTATGTTATGCTCCAGAAGTAGCCCATTTCCTCCCGCTGAGCGCAGCGAGTTTAAAGAATTGTGGGGTGAGGTAATTAGAATTTGTTTTGTGTTCCTGGCAGGGATACTTTACTTCATCTTTTCGCATTTAATAAACCCCTTTTGCTTTATTGGTAAATATATTTAGTTAGAGAGATTAAAATGCAATAAATATTGCTTTGACCATTAGCAAGTATTTAATGGTAAATGACTGTTAAAGCAGTACTGTGGTCTGTTTTTTTCCTATCTTCTTACATCTTAACATATAAGAATACTTGGGTCAATGACATGGCATTCACTTATTCAAAAATACATAAAAATGCTATTTATACATAAAATGAATACATTATACATCTTCTCTAATGAGTAAGTTTTTAATTTTGTAGTAAAAGTTATTTTCATATTTGGAGAGGGCATACATTTAAAAAAAAAATAATTAATTAATTAAATTCTTGAGAAAAACATTAATTTGTATTTTAGTATTATTATCATTTAGAAAAAAACATATTTTAACAAAACTGCTTCATTGCTTATTTATACTGGGAAAAGCTTTGTCCAGCAAAGAGTATCATCGTTATAATAGCAGAAAACAATTTTTATTCATGATATTTGTTTTATATATAACTTTTTCAAAATATATTTACTTTCGAGGAGCTGTAAACTTTTTTTTATTATTAATTAATCATTTTTTTTATATTAGGTAATGATTAAGATGTTTACACATTTATTTAAAGCAAGGAAAATATATTATTACATTTTACTTGATGGACTACATGACATATTTATAGTCGTTAAATTATTATTATTTTATTTTATTTAAACTTTTTATTATTATTTGGATTTTTTTCAACTTTTCTTAAAAGTTCTGCCTTTTTCTTTATCATGGACACTCTTCAATAACATTGACCCAGCTGCCATCTTTTCCTTTGTGCATTCGTAGATGTTCTCCCCTCTGCGCACACTCACGGTCTGTTTCGAATTATGACAGTAACCTTACTCTCTGTTTGTGCCTCTTGGCCTTGGGCAGGAAGTGCAGGGTCGCCCTTCAGACATCATGGTGGCAGACAGGCGTCCACTGTAATGTCTCCCCATTGCTCGCATACATTGCGTACCAATACATGGCCTTATTGGATTTCACGGCCTACGGTGCCCCGCTAATTAATGTCAGAGCCTCCCTCTATCATATCACATGAGAGGCTCCCCGCCTTCGTTCTAGACTGGGTTTACCTCCATGAAGCTTTGGAGACTAAACACAGTTAGCAAGGGCACCGGGAACGGTGTTCCCACAGCGGGGCGGATCAGGATCAGAGTGGGCTGAGGAAGCCCTGGGATTGGCCCTGGAGTGACCTGTAGTGTTGTGAATGGAGAGAGAGAGTGAGAGAGAGAGAGGGACGGGTTTAAGTGTGAGGTTGGGCCCTGCTGAGTCTCACTGTAATTGCATTAACCCATACCCTCACTAGCACAACACTTCATTTGTCGTCCCAGCGCCTGGTCCCGCTGATTGACACGTCAGCTTTGCTCTCATCTCACTCCATCATGCCTTCAGAGCCTGACCGCAGAAACGGCGCGCGTGTCCGCTTCTCAACAATCAGACAGATGAACTGTCATCAAACACTGTATGCTCTTAAGACCGTAAGATTACATTTGATATATAATGTGCAAAAATGTCAGTTTAACAATTGAAAAGGCAAGTTGAAATCTGAAACCTTAACAACTAATGGCCTGAATTAGGATGTAATTCTTGAAGTAACTTTTACCATGAATTCCTTTGGGAATAAGTATTTAGATTTAGGTTAGGTTCTTTTGGATAAGTTCAGATTTCAACTTGCCTTTTCAATTGTTAAACTGACATTTTTGCACATTAAATATCAATGTAATCTTACGGTCTTAAGAGCATACAGTGTTTGATGGCAGTTCATCTGTCTGCTTGTTGAAGTACAAGTAAATTAGTAATGTAGTACTAAAATCAGTAATATAAAAACTAACAGTTTTTTTTTTTCCCCCTTAATTTTTGATATTTACTACGATTCAAAAGTTTGGAATCTGCTAGTTTTTCTTTTGCCATTTATTTGATAAAAACAGGATAAAAACATGCATTTGATTTTTTTTTTCGGGATTCTTTGATTAATAGAAATTTCAAAAGAACAGCATTTATTTGTTTACTGTCACATTTGAACAACTGCAACAGTGCAGTACGATAGTACGATAGATAGATAGTACGATAGATAGATAGATAGATAGACATTGTGACAATTTCCAATCAAGCTCGAAATTAAGCTTAAAAGCTATTAAATAAGCTATTAATTAAACATTTGGAATATTATTTAACTGTGCATGTTTAGGATACATAAAATGCTAGCTGTGAAATTAGCCTTATCAGGACAAAGGAGACCAATGTTTAAAATGTCCTTTTCACCACAAAATGCTATCAAATATTGTCTAATGCTATCGGACTCCCTCTGACTATCCAGTGATTATGTTAATGACGCTTATGATGGAAAAATCGCCTGGAAATTACATGACCCAAACATGAACCGAAATCCCACTGTTTGTCAGGTTAGGATCATGTGCGTATACACATGCCTGAATTAGTGTTCCTTTGTGTTTGTGTGTTGAAATTCATATAAAGGACATTATGAGGGACAGGAGCTGCATCACTCAATTAGGCCAGAGCAGCCGCGGGGCAGCAGGGAGCAGCTCGCGGCAGATGGAGAACGTTCTGGTGCCCCTGCATGCCTGGACCCACAGTACTCCTTCAGCTGCCAGCACGGCCAGGAACCTGGCAAACATGCGGCACAATTTCAAGGGTACGTGATTCCTGTAAACCCGGCCGGCCCGGGTCGAACTGCTCAAATTGAGCCATTTTGTTTGAAAACGGTCTGCTTTCCTGAGCCTGGCTACACCTCTCCAACTGTTCCAGCCACTAATGAGGTAGAGCGAAGATCCTCTGTATCGCAGTTTGTATTACACATATTCCACCTTCTTAAATTCCCACAATTCTATTCAAGTCCCAATGTTCTCATTCACAGAGCTCGTGTTCCCGCTTATATTTTTCTCTTTGTCATCTGCAAAGCAGTAGAACACCACGGCCACATTTTTCCACTGGAATGCTGCCGGTTTACAGCTGCTCAGGGAAAACTGTCCAATTCGGACTGAACCTCAAAGTTCGAGAGGGCTATTAGGGTGATATTATGATTGTTTGATGAGGGCTCGGGATCATTGAGCTGATGTGCTCTATTAAGAGTACTCTGTTTCCATGTTCAGCAGGGTTGAGGTGCAATCTACATGCACTGGCTTCCCTCCTCAAGGGCTTTTAATGGATACGGCCAGAGTTTAGAATCCCATGAAAGGTAATATCCATGGAATTGGGGAGTTAGGAACGCATACTGTTCTATTCTGGCAGAAAGAGAGAGAGAGAGTGAAGCTCAAGGGGGATGAGATGGTTTTCGTGCTGTGGTACGACTTTGAAAGTAACACTGAGGTATGGCTCAACATCTGCACTTCTCACCAGAGTTCCCACCAGACTTAGAGCAACCAAAGGAAGAGAGAAGCTGTCTGTGATACTCAAAGTCGAGCTCAGAGAAGAAATGAGGCATGGGGACCTGGGGAAAATCAGCGGATGATAAACATGAGTGTGAGAAGTAGAGAAGTATTTTTTGCTTAAACCGCAGCAGGAAAATGTCTAATTTCTCTGAAATGTTTTTTTTTTTAAACAACTGTCACCTGTAGAAACACACTCTCCTCTATGCGCACTAGACACTTTTCACACACACTGCTTTGTGTACATAATCCCACAAAAGACTCCGTAATAGGTGTGTTTACATGCTCATGCACTACAAATCATCTGCACTGTTCCCCAGCCAGCTGTATGCCTGTATTTATGTAACACCGTGGTCCTGTGAGGCACGACATTTCGTTCCACTGTATGTCCCCACATGCAGCAGAATGACAATAAAGCTCAACTTGACTTGAAGTTTTATGAAAGTAAAAGCTCTGCAGAAAACAGGCATACGTGTACAGTATATTGGGGGACATGCCATCATGCGTTTCTTAATCAGCATTTTAAAGAAATTTACTATGAGATGCCATAATTTAGAATTGGCTGCAAAATGTTTCTGAGAACCCATGAGTCATGCAGGCGATGTTGAGCTTTTCATGATTGCTTTTCAATCAAAAGTTATTTCTGCTGCTAATTCAATTTACTTAGTGCCGCCCGCGGTACACTGCATGCTTTGAGGGTTAACTTCGTGAAACACACAAAAAAGAAAAGAAAAAGGTAAACGTGTCATATATCTTTGGAAAGCTGAGATTCTTGTGATTCGAATGACGAATGACATTTTAAGATACAATCAACACAGCAGGTACAATCAGTGTCTTTGTCAGACCAACAACAACCAAATAAACAATAACAAAACTGAAGGAACTCACCTATGAAGCCTCTTGTTAGTCCACTAGTTCATTACATTCCAACAAAAATGGTGTAGTTACACTGTAAAGGGTCCAGACTATCCAATTCAGTGAAATATTTAGTCCATAACACATTTATATGTTGATAAACATCCACGGAATGTAGTAGTATCATTTCATATTAGCCGACGGAGCGCTCAAATTCTCGGCGCATTCAGGAGTATAGCTTGTTTTTGCATGTAAACAAAACCAAATCATTGAAGTCAAAATGGCGACTGACCTCTGCCCTTTTGATTGACACCTTATTTGAGCCAATAGCTGAATCTATGAGGTGTTTACAGGCAGCGATAGCCAACTAGCTTCCAGGATGAAGGATGAGGCAGCCTCTGTTTGATGGACAGTAGACCGATCCAATTGCATCAGAGTTTGCACATGACTGTCGTTTCTGATAGCCAATGACCTTCTGAACAGAATAATATGCGACTTTAGTGGGAGAGTTTAACATATCGTGCGCAGAAGTCCGTGCGCAAAGGATTATAGTGACTGGTGCGTCCGTGCGTAATGAGCGCTCTATGAAAGATAACGGGGAAAAGGTGGTTATAGGTAAAAAGCTATCAAAGAGAACGCGAAAAACAAACATTTTGTTCTAAGAAGTTGTTAAACAATGTATAACAATAAGATTGGCCAGACAATAAAAGTGTTTTTTGACGGCGAGTGCGATGTTTCATCCATTGAAGCAGATGAGAGGAGATGCTTTTGGATGGAGGAGATGCCACTCTCAAAAAGTAAGTGTTTTATTATATTATATAATTATATTTTTATATATTTTACATATAATTATGTATATTATACATTTTACTGTATATATTGAGGTATGTGTTTTTGGTGTTCTTGCTAACTTCTGTCGTGTGTGTGTGTGTGTATATGTGTGTGTGTGTGTGTGTGTGTGTCAAATCAAATCAAATCTCTTTATTGTCACACATCGTGTACACAAGTGTAACAATTGTGAAATTCTTGGGTACAAGACTCTGTGCCATGGCAGTACAAGCAACAAGATATGAAAAATTAACAGTATACATAAATAACAATATACACATTTTACACAATATACAATTTTTTCACAATATACAATAGACAATTGTACACAATATACACATTTCCATAATATACACATAGTACACAGTATACTCAAGAGACTTACAAATGTATAGCTTTTATATATGACTTACAGTGATGTATACTGTAGTGTTTTATTGTGAAGTTCAGTGCAGTAGTTTGTTAGTGCAGAAGAGAAGATGGAGGTACATGTGTTCTCTGCTATGCAGTGCTGTCAGAGTCAGTGTGCTGGTGTGTAGATGGAGTCCAGTGTGAGGGGTAGGGGTAGGTGGGTGATTATAGTTTTGCTATCTGGAGTTCAGTAGTCTGATGGCCTGCGAGAAGAAGC